TATCAGGAGGCAATAAACAACTCAGATGTTTCACTGTAGATGATGGCGATGCAAGAAGAAATTGAAGCCCTTTATAAAAATAATACATGGGACCTTGTGCCACTACCACAAGGAAGGAAGCCAATTGGTAACAAATGGGTCTTCAAAATCAAGCGAAATGGTGACGATCAAGTTTAGAGGTATCGTGCAAGACTGGTGGTCAAATGATATGCTCAAAAAGAAGGTACTGATTTCAATGAAATATTTTCTCCTGTGGTTCGACTAACAACAGTTCGAGTAGTTTTGGCAATGTGTGCTACATTGGACTTACATCTAGAGCAGCTAGATGTTAAAACAACTTTTCTTCATGGAAATCTTGAAGAAGAAATTTATATGCTCCAGCCTGAAGGTTTTGAAGAAAAAGAAAAGAAGAACTTGGTTTGCAGGTTGAACAAATCTCTGTACGGTCTAAAGCAGGCGCCGAGGTGTTGGTATAAGAGATTTGATTCCTTCATTAGAATTGAAGGCATAACTGGCTAGGGAATTTGAAATGAAGGACTTGGGATCAGCAAACAAGATTCTAGGGATGCAAATTCACCGAGACAGAAGTAATAGGAAGATTTGGCTTTCACAAAAGAATTACTTGTTCAAGATCTTGTCACGATTCAGCATGTAAGATTGTAAGCCAATTTCTACCCCTCTTCCTATTAACTTCAAATTATCCTCTAGTATGAATCCTAGCAGTGAAGAAGAGAGGATGGAGATGTCTCGAGTACCGTATGCATCGACAGTGGGAAGTTTAATGTTCGCTATGATATGCACAAGACCATACATTGCACAAGCAGTGGGAGTGGTTAGTCGGTACATGGCGAATCCAGGCAAAGAGCATTGGAATATTGTAAAGAGGATCCTCATATACATCAAAGGGACCTCAAATGTTGCATTATATTACGGAGGATCAAACTTACTAATCAATGGTTATGTAGATTCTGACTATGCAGTGGATTTGGATAAAAGCAAATCTACTACAGGATATGTGTTCAAAATTGATGGTGGAGCTGTAAGCTGGGTTTCAAAATTACAGTCAGTTGTGGCTACGTCTACAACAGAGGCAGAATATGTAGCAGCTACACAAGCTAGTAAAGAAGCAATTTGGTTGAAGATGCTATTGGAGGAGCTTGGGCACAATCAAGAGTATGTCTCTATGTTTTGTGACAGTCAAAGTGCCTTGCATCTAGCAAGGAATCCAGCATCTCATTCAAGGACAAAGCACATACGAGTTCAGTACCATTTCATTCGTGAAAAGGTGGAAGAAGGAACGGTAGATATGCAAAATATCCATACCAAAGACAACATAGCAGATTTCATGACGAAGGCAATCAATGCTGATAAATTTACATGGTGTTGATCCTCTTGTGGACTGTCAGAGACGTAAGCAACATGATGGTACAAGGTAGAAAGAATGGTGTGAAGATATGATTGTGTCAATCAAATCTTCAAGTGAGAGATTATTGAAAGCATGCACCGAAAGTGCATTTAGCAAGGTTGAAAAAAAAATGAAATTTTCAACAATGGTAGGCACCAAATATAAAATGTCAAAATTAGGTGCAACAATGGTTGAAAACTAAATGGGCAAATTACAAACTTTAGTCATTAAACTTTTAGGGTATTTTCAAGATTAGTCCTTAAAGCTTCTACTATAAATACCCTAGCTCATTTAGCTTCAAAACCATCCCAAAGCATTCTAGCTTTCTTCCAATACTAGAGAGATTTTAGAGAGTTTCTTGAGAGTTGTTTTCTCCTTTTTATCTAGAGAGAATTATCATTGTTTTCTCATTGGTAGATCGAGACAGGTTGTAATTCCTATTTGCTCATAGTGAAATTCTTCTACCGTTGCCCGTGGTTTTTACCCTAAATTTTTAGGGGTTTTCCACGTAAATTTTGTGTCTCTTTTATATTCATTTTTATTTTCTCAAATTATCAGTTGCGATTTTGCTCTATCCGATAGCCGTCTTCCGCAACACGTAAACCACCAACCCGTATTGAACGACCACCGTGAACCACCAACCCGTATTGAACATCAACAAGATCCGCCATCAAAGATGCAAACCTTCAAATGTCCTATTAGGGAACGAGACATGCTTAGCTAGTGCAATATAGGAGGATTTCATTGATGGGTGAAAGCTTGCGAGCAAGCAATGAACCAAATGTGAAATGTTTCATTTGATGGGTTTAATGTGCAAACAATGGCGAAACATTTTCAAGACACTATTTTGATCAGCTGCCATGTGAGCCTCAGTTTCCCTTATCGATCACCAAGACAATAACCTAATAATAATATATGTTTATTATTATTATTATTCATTTGGAGTGATTACAAGATAATATGTATTTGAAATACTTTCAATCATTTGACAATTAACGTTCATACACTTTTATAGACATCGTGCTTAAACTCAAGATTTCATTAAACTTTGAGATCGTTTGATTCATACAATAATAATCTATATAATAATCTTAGTGGACCCTTACGCCCAACATTTATCGATCACAATGCATAAAGAAAATGTGAGAGAAAAAAGATAGTGGAATGTTCAATTCAAGTTCCCTACCACAAGTCCTTTTAGCCAAAGTAACATTAAAGTTTCACACTCATTGATCACTATTTGGACCACTAATTAAGAACATGAAACCCTACTAAAATATTAAATAAATTTCAAAAGAGGATTGAGACCCTTATTCAAGGGATATGGGTAGATTAACGTCATGCATGCCTCGTTTAAATGGATTAAAAGAAAGATTAATTTAATGATTATTATATGATATAGTTGGATGAGACGTTAGTACCTTTAAGTTAAGTCAAGAGTTTGAATTGTAACGTTGTGAATGGATTAAACTGGATTTAGAGAGTGATCCTCGTAATGAACCTATACGATGCCGATTCAGATTAATTGGTTAATAAATTAGACATCATTGGTACATATTAGTTTGGGTAAGCTACACATTTAGTAGCTCAACTATCATTTTTGTTTTGTTTTAATTATTTAACTATTTTTTTTCAAAATCATACTTAACGTTATGTTTGGTTTCATTTTGGTCAATCACCATTAAAAAATAATATAATATTGACATGCCATCAGAATGTAATGTCATGTCATCATTGAAAATTTTAAAATGTCACGTCAATAGTTCTGTTAAATTTTTAACGACGGGTGGTCAAAATGAAACTAAAATGTAACATTATATAAGATTTTGAAAAAAATAATTGAATGACCAAAATGAAATAAAATTGATAATTGATATTAATATATATTATATTTTTAAAAAATAAATTTTAATTTTAAAAATGTTATAATTGAAAGAAATATATTATAAAATTAGTATAACGATATCAATATTTAATTATATTAAAAAATTTATATTATAAATTATGATTGTATTAATATAAATATATTTATAATTAAAATTCGTGGTTATATAATATATAAAAATAATTTAAATAAGTGGTCAACAAATAAGGGAAATAAAAGTGGTAGTTGTAAAACCCTAGAAAATGGAGAAATGCAAGAAAGTGTGCCTGCCGGGTGTGACAATGACCATACACTGTATATTCCTTCCGGTTAAATAATATAATACTATTTACTGTTTAAATTATTAAGGGTAAAAACAATCTTCTATAGTAACTGACAATATCTTTTATATATACACGTATCATAAATAGCGTCGAAAACGTGACAAATGTTCTATACCGTTCTAAGATATATTACATTACTAATAAAAGTAAATTATGAATTTAGTGAATTAAACATTTATATAATTATATTTTATTTATCAATTTTTTAATAGTCTAAAATAATTATAAAATAATACATATTTTTAAAAAATTTAATTAATGAATAACGTATATACTTATTATAAATGTAATTGCTCAAGTCTAATTTTTTTGAAAAAAATAATATATTTTTTATAATTAAAATTATTTTATGAGTTCTTGAAGTTTATTTATAAATTATTATTGAGGGTCCCTTTTAAAGCCAAAAGCTTTCATTCCCCCGATCGAGAGCGCGCGGGGCAGAGATTTAAAGATGGATCGCACGACCATTTATGTCTAACCATACCATATATAAAGACACTCTACTTTCTCCTTTTCTTCGTTCTTTTTGCTTCCCTAATTGTCTTTTTATTTTTAGTGTTTTGAGTTATTTATCATTTTTATTATGATATAATTTTAAAGAGACTTTGAGTGAAATAAGAGTAGTGTACGAAATATGTTGTACCACCTCGGAATATCAAGACATTCGTAGAATATATTCATAGTTAGATTTCAAAAAAGCATCTATGTATATAAGGTTTCTAAAACCTTATTCTCTAAAAAAAATATTTTGATATGAACTCTAACATGACTCGTATGACAAAGCTAAAATCAATTGATACTTCACTATACAAATTAGGCCTCTACATCCTATCAGCTTATGAATAATTCTAATGACTTTATACTTGATATCAACATCGAAAGTCATTATAAAATCTCTCGATAAAGACAAAAAATATACAAGCTCTCTCTTATTACTCTTCTCACTTTTATTTTCTCATAAAGACATAAGACCAATTATCGTTTTTTAATCGATTAAGATTTTTTACTCAATAAATTAATGATTTTTTCCATAAACAAAAGTCTTAAAATAACCAATGAATGAAAGCCATAATATCCCTTGAATTTTTTAATGACATCGAGACTTATAATAAAATATGTGTTGAGATCATATACTAACTTATGATCTAGTAAAATAAACGCTAAATAATTTTATCAATAATCATTCTCATAATAATTTTTATAGCATATTATCTTAAATTAAACAACAATAAATAAAAAAAATTAGTAGTTTACATAACATACTAATAGTTTATAATATTAATATTCCCCAATTCAATGCCCACTTCATTTTCCTCTCCACCAATCACCAATCTATTTGTACTCTCAACTCAAGTACCATCTCCAGTTACCAGTGTTCTTTCTCTCTTTCAAATCCAAGTTCTCTTTATTTCAGACAAAACCCCATTAATCTCTGAGATTTAGATACTGTAATAATCCAAGTTCTCTTTCTTACATGTTGAGTTGGAGATGGCGAATAAAGGAGCTAATGCGGTTGTGTTGTTCGTGTTTATGTTCTTCACTCTTGTTTTGTCCGAATCCGACCATGGCGAAGAACTCGAGCTGCTTTTGTCTTTCAAGTCTTCAATAATCCACGACCCTTCTGGTTTCTTGTTGAACTGGGATCCCTCCGCCGCCACATTTTGCCAATGGCGCGGCGTCGGTTGCAACAATATGTCCCATGTCGAAACACTCGATGTTTCAGCAAAAAACCTGTATGGGATTTTGGTTTCCTCGTCGGTTTTCCGTTTACCGTTTGTGAAAACAGTAAATCTCTCGAGCAATCGCTTCTCCGGTGAAATCCCACGGGATATCTTTTCTTCAACCTCTTCAATTCGATTCCTCAACATGAGTAACAATAATTTCACTGGTAAAATCCCAAGTGGTTTCATTCCAGACCTTGAGGTTTTAGATCTTTCAAACAATATGTTTTCCGGGAAAATTCCGGAAGAAATCGGATTATTCTCCGGCTTCAAGTTTCTTGATCTTGGTGGGAATGTTCTTTCCGGGAAAATTCCGATCTCGATAACAAATGTCACCGCTTTGGAATACTTAACTTTGGCTTCGAACCAATTAGTTGGCCAAATTCCACATGAAATAAGCAAGATGATGAACTTGAAATGGATATATTTGGGCTACAACAATCTTTCTGGGGAAATTCCGAAAGAAATTGGTGGTTTAACTTCGTTGTATCATCTTGATCTTGTTTACAATAACTTCACCGGCGAAATCCCATCTTCGATCGGAAACCTCCGTGATCTTAAGTATCTTTTCCTTTATCAAAATAAGCTTACTGGAACAGTCCCGAACTCCATTTTTGGTCTTGAAAAGCTTGTTTCTCTTGATCTTAGTGATAATTCATTATCCGGTGAGATCCCAGAGCTCATAATCCAGCTCCAAAACCTGGAGATTCTTCATCTGTTTGGCAACAGATTTTCCGGAAAAATCCCAAATGCTTTAACTTCATTGCCTCATCTTCAAGTTCTTCAGCTTTGGTCCAATAGATTCTCCGGTGGGATTCCTCGAAGCCTTGGACGACGTAATAATCTCACCGTCCTCGATCTCTCCACCAATAATCTCACCGGTCGAATACCCGACGGAGTTTGCAGTTCCGGTCGTCTTTTGAAGCTCATTCTGTTCAAGAACAAGCTCGAAGGTGACATTCCGATGAATTTAAGCACTTGCGCCAGTTTGCAGCGTGTTCGGCTTCAGAACAATCATCTCTCCTGTGAATTATCCTCAGTTTTCACAAAGCTGCCTTCGGTATACTTCTTGGATGTCTCGAACAACAATCTTTACGGCGACATAGGAGACCAAATCTGGGACATGCCGTCACTCGAGATGTTGAGCTTGTCGGGAAACAGGTTTTCCGGGAAGTTGCCTCACTCATTGATCACCCCGAAGCTCGAGTTCTTGGACTTGTCTGGAAATGAATTTTCCGGGACTATTCCTCCACGTTTCGGGACCTTACCGGAGTTAATACAATTAAGCTTAAGTGAAAACAAGCTGACAGGTGAAATCCCAGATGCATTATCTTCATGCAAGAAGCTTGTGTATTTAGACTTAAGCCATAACCAACTAATCGGCCAGATCCCACCTTTTCTCACGGACATGCCGGTTCTCGGCCATCTTGACTTGTCAGAGAATGAATTATCCGGTGAAGTTCCGGCGAAGTTGGGGAAAACGGAATCATTGGTTCAAGTGAATATCTCTCACAATCATTTAACCGGCGCTTTACCTTCAACCGGAGCCTTTCTAGTTATAAACGAAAGTGCAGTTATTGGCAATGATCTTTGCGGCGGCGGTTTGCCGCCATGCAAGAAGCTTAAGAACCGAGCTTGGTGGGTTCTTATTGCTTGCTCTCTCTCTTCTTTACTGTTCCTTGCCGTTGCTTCGTTTGGGTTTTTGTTCATCAATGGAAGAAACGATTTGAAGCTGAAAAGAATCGAAAATGAAGATGGATCAATCTGGGAATTGCAGTTCTTCGATTCCATGGCTTCGAAATCAGTAACGATCCATGATATTACACTTTCTGCAAAAGATGAAGCCATTTCATTCAAAGGGAAGTCATGGGTTTCAAATGATTTCCAATTCATCGTCAGCTCAATTCCGTCAAGATTTTGGTCTGAACTCACCGGAATCGACAAGCTCCAGCACCCGAATATCGTTAAGTTGATCGGAAAGTGCCGGTCGGAGAAGAGTGCGTATTTGCTTTACGAGTACGTAGAAGGGAAACTTCTAAGTGAAATCCTTCGCAATTTAAGCTGGGAAAGGCGCCGGAAAATTGTTATCGGGATCGCGAAAGCTCTACGGTTTCTTCATTCTTATTGTTCGCCGAGCGTACTCGTCGGAGATATGTCGCCGGAGAGAATTATCGTTGATGCAAAAGATGAACCTCGGCTACAATTCATCCTTCCTTGCACCGGAAACAAGCGCTTCTTTTCTTCCCCGTACATTGCACCGGGTACAAATATATATTTTATCATGTTTTTTAATTAAGGTTTAATTATAGTTTTGGTCCTTCTATCATCCTCAAATTTAATATCTAATGTATAGACTTTAATTTGACATAACTTTAATCTTCGTCCTTCCCTATTCTAGTTAAAATATTATAGTCAAATTTTCTTAAGTTACAAACATGTATGAACATATTTTTAATTAAGGTCAAATTCTAGTTTTTATCCATCTACCATCCTTAAATTACAAACATATACAGAGTAACATATTGATATAATGAGGGGTCTCTTACGAAAATGTCAAGAGCTTGAATCATAGAATTATGAACAAAGAAAATTAAGTTAGAAGTAAGGTTAGGCATGTGACCCAGACCTAGTAGGTAGTGATCCAATCTAATCTTATAGGCTCAGTTTTTTGTTGTTGAAAATTTAGGTTCAAGTTAGATAAAGATAATTTTTTGAAGGATAAGATTAAATCGGGTTTGAGTTTAGGGTAAAAAATATTTAATATGACCCGAAACGATTATAGATAATAATATAATTATCTTTTATATATTTAAGAATAATTATAATAATATTCATCCCTTCATATTTTTTAATTACTTATTTTATTGAATAAAAATGAGAATTATATATAAATTTATATTGAATCGAGTGTGAGATTTTACCTAAAAATTATATTAAATTTCGAGTCCAATGAAAGTGGAGAAGTAGCATACTCAAATGGAGTTTAAATCAACCAAAAATCCATTCCGACACGACTCATATCCATTTCTTGTTAGAAAGATTATCTTATAATAGAATTTTACATGAGAAGATTCATATTAATCGATTAAAAGCTGGAATATAAGAAGTGCTACTAAAAAGAATAACGTAAAAGCAAATATTAAACAAAGTCATACACGTGAATATTTTGCTAATGCATAATTTTTCTTTTACCTTTTACCTCTATTTGCAGAAGCCAGAGAAATCAAAGAGATGAATGAAAAGGCTGATATCTACGGCTTCGGACTAGTTATGATCGAATTATTAACGGGGAAAGCCCCATCATATTCTGAACTTGGAACCACAGTTGAGTGGGCTCGTTATTGCTACTCAGATTGTCATCTTGACACGTGGGTTGATCCCATCATCAAAAACCATGCATCCATCGACAACCACAACCAGATCGTCGCCGCCATGAATCTCGCTCTCCATTGCACGGCCGCTGACCACACGGCTCGGCCGTGCGCGGCCGACGTAACCAAAACCCTACAATCCGTTTTCAGAACAAGCTATGGTCTCCCGGGGCTTACGTTTCCTTCACATGTTTAGGGTTTTCACATTTTTTTCCCTGTTTTGTTTTTTTTGTTTTAGGTTGATTTTCTTTTTGGTTTCTACTGTAGATTGATACTGAGTTTGAAAGATGTAGATTAATGGGTTAATTACAGTCTTTTCATCTTCCTACTATTGTTTAGAGATAGATAGAGTAAATCTATGAAGATCTTGTTTTTATTTACGTTGCTCATCGATGATTGCAATGCTTTTATGGCTCATGATTATGATCACGATTCGAGCTGTTTGATGAAAAAATAAATTAAAAATTTATGTCCGTGATTTTTTTAAAAATATTTATTATGTAAGTTTGTATATTCTTATTATTTTTTCTAGTTAATTACATCGTATCTTTATTTTAAATGTTTCGAAATTTTGTAATGTTCTAATTTCATTTTAAATTAATCATTAAACTTTGAGCATTTTAATTTTATTTCCAGATTATGATCATCATTCTAAATTGATCCTTAAACTTTTGAACATTTCAATTTCATCCCAAACTATCAGCACATGCTAATCAATTCCCTTGTTAATAAAATCATTAGGAAAAGTTGTATTATTACATGTTTGAAAAAAAATAAATTTTAAGTTGAACTATAGTTGATACTAATTATATATTTGGATGGATTTGCGGATGAAATTAGAAGATTCAAAAGTTTGAGGTTAGAATGAGCGTCATAATTTAGGGATGAAATTAGAATGTTCAAAAGTTTAAAGACTAATTTAGAATGTGGGTCATAATTTAGGATGAAATTAAAATATTTAAAAGTTTGATGACTAATTTAAAATGAGTGTAATAGTTTGGAGATATGCGATATAGCTAATTCTTTTCTTTTTATAATGAACCTCTTTAATACTCGATTTATATTAATAGCTCGATTAATAAAATATTATTTTGAAATAATCATTTAGAATCCACTTAAAACTTTACACCTTCGTATTCATATATATATATATATATATAAAAGAAAACACCATGGCCTAGCCTTTCACTTTTATTTATTCTTTTGTGTTATGTAATACACATTCTCTCGTTTGGTTGGTCGGGAATGTTATTTTCGGTAATCTTATATTATTAATAGTGTATTTTTGGGGATATATTACCGGGAATGTCATTACCTCCATTTCTTTAGGTATTGTTGGATTATCGGCGTTTTGGATTAAAATGCCCTTAATTTTTTTCTTTAAAAATATCATTTTTTTGTCATTGAATAATAAAAATTATACGAAGGTTAAATTATAAATTTATCCTTAAACTATTTTAGATTTACAATAAAAGTCTAATTAAAATTTTATATGAAGTTTAGGGGTTAAAATAAAATTTTACTCTTTCATTAAACTTATTTATCTTTTTAATTTTGTAAAAAAAATTATATAAATTTTATGAATTTAAATTTTTTTAAAGAAAATATATAAATATTTTCCAACTTGTTAAAAAAATAAATATATAATAACGACAATTTGATCAAATATAATATTCCAATAACCTTTTATTCTTTTAACCAAACACGATAATCTTACATTCCTGCTAAACCAACCAAATACAAAATACAACATTCTCAGTAATCCTATTCCCTGGTAATCTTTTATTCCCACTGATAATCTTACATTCTGTAAACCAAACGCACTATTGTAGTTGTAGGAATTTTGTCCCTTTTTCTTTCCAACTTTGTAATGTTATGCTCTGCACTCCCGGTCATTTATATATTCCTTCTCTCTCTCTATTTTGTTTCCCCTTATATTCTGTTTCGTCCCATGATGACCACCAATTTAATCCAAACTCGAATGTAATTTTTTTATTTAATCCAGCAATTTAATCATCTAAACATATTGAAAATACATATTAATGATGACCACCCATGGTTTGTTAGTTGACCATCTAAATATATATGACTTTTTTAAAAATTTGAAACTTAGTGTCTAAATTGCTAAAGAAAAATTTTAAGGGCATATTTGAAAAAAGTGGCAAATGTCGGGGGCTTTTTTTCCATCATGCCTTTATTTTATTATTTTACTTCAAAATTAGATATACATTTACAATGACTAATTTACTCTTTTTTGTAATAGATAGATTAATAGGTAAATGTAAATTCTGGTACATGAATTTGAGTATAAAGTTCAACTTCCTACATGATTTTTTACCAATTATGTATTTTTTATCAACACAATTAGATATTTGAACTTAGATTATGTTATAAAAGTTAATTCAGAGTATAACTCTATTAAAAGTTTTTTTATCAACATAATTAGATATTTGAAAATTATGCAAGTAAGGTTTAGGATGGACACACGTTCATTTTGAAATCTATATTTAATTATGTTAGTTATTTATTTTATTGATGATGGGAAAAACACAATAGAGACTAATGGGGCCATGAGCCCCAAAAAATTTAAAAAATTATAAATTAGACCCTTAAAATTTTCAAAAATTTTAATTTGTCTCCTACAAAAATTTTAGAAATTTAGTTTAAGCTTTAAAGTTTTTGAATGTTCTTAATTAAACTCCTCCCATAATTTTTAAAAATTCTCATTAAGACTCTCAAAGTTTCAAATATTTTAGTTAGACTGTAATTTTTTTTTTTAAATATAAATTGAACCCTTTAAAAATTTTAATTTTAACCTGTTAATTTTTTAAGGTTTAAGTTGACTCCAAAACTTTATCACCAAGTTCCGCCACTAATAATATTCATCCTAAAATTTTATTTGTATCATCTTATACGAAATTTTTTATTATTAATACATATGTATATGTCAACTCTAAACTACCTAAATTTTAGTATGGAGGGCAGTGACAGGCTGGTTCACGCCCCGGCAGCTATATAGATTCCCTAGTACAATACTCAAATTGAGAATAGACCATAACAGAGAAGGGGTACTGATGAGGTAGATAGGTCAAAGGCCTACAGAACAGCAACATTGTTTGGTCATGCCGGAATGGGACCACACTTCATCATGTGTTGCTCTTATTGTCGGAACCCTCTTTTGGAATCCCAAAAAAAGGCAGACTTTGCTCCTATTCTCGAGCCCATAGGTTCGAGACCGTAGTCCATCACTAACCGTATATGTATATATGTATTTAAAGTTTTTCTCGGGTCATGATATGAATTTTGTAAATTTTTTTTCATTTTTCGATTATAGTACATTTTTCTCATTTATCTGTCTTTTTATTAATAGTTTTTACGTAGAATCTGTATGTTCATTATGTTTTTTGTGTGATTTCATGGACATTAAATTGAACTTATGTTTAACCTTCATCTTTTGTTTTCACAGATAATAAACTCACTGTCTCTTCGAACTTATCATAATCTAAAACATATAAAATCAAAAGCGACTTAAATAAATCTAAATACATAATAATTCGAACTCGAAATAAATCATATTTGGAAGTCACGTGATCCCTATTAACTCAAATTGAAATTAGTGTTTTCGGCTTAATTGGAAGGTCTATAACATAAATGGTAAAGTGCATCATAGGTTACTAAATTATGTTCAAATGATCATTTTGATCATTGAACATTTAAAAATTACAAAATGATTATTAAATTCATCATATTGTTGTAAAATTATCATTAAGTTATATGGATATGTTACAAAATGATAATTAAATCTCATTAAATTTATCAAAATTTTACACTTATTATGACTCAGACTTGAAATGAACCAAACTTGAAAGTAACTTGATCTAGATTAATTCAATTCAAAATTAGTCTCGTCGATTTGATTGTCAGACCTATAATATAAAGGGCAAAGTACAAACGAAGGTTATTAAACTATGTTCAAATAATCATTTTGGTTATTAAACTTTTAAAATTTACAAAATGATCAATAAATTTTATCGATATATTAAAAAATGATCATTAAATCTCCTTTATCAAATTTTCACACTTATTATGACTCAAACTCCAAATGAACCAAATCTGAAGTAACTTGATCCAAATTAAATCATTCTGAAACAATCCTTATAGACTTAATTGACAGGTCTAGTATAAAGGATAAAGTACACCAAAGGTTATTGACCTACACTCTATTGATTGTTTTGGTTATTGAACTTTCAAAAATTATAAAATGATTATTATATTTATCAAACTGTTATTTTGTCGACATGTTACATAATGATCATTAAATTTACCAACTTTTACACTTTGATATATTGAATGACCGTTTTGTAACTTTTAAAAATTCAATGATTAAATCGATCATTTAAAAATAGTTTAATGACCTCGTAAATATGTGTACATATACATACAAGCCAGCTGGTTGAGATTTGAAGGACTGCAAACCAGCTCAGTTTTGCTGTCATAGCTAGTGGGGTTTTTTTTTTACAAATAATGTTGTCTTAAAAGCCTCAAGATATGAATGATGGTGTTCTTGGAGACCATGATGCTTTCTTGTATTAAAAAAGTTATTATTTTGTTCCCCTTTAATCTCTTCTTTGATTCAAAGTTGATCTCTTTGAATGTTTTCCCACTATCTCTCTCTTTTATCCTTCAAAAGTAATCTTTTGCACATCACAAGAACAAAACAAGACATCTTTCATGTTTGTTTCTTTGTTCTAAGACAACAGTAGATGTTTTGATGTAGAAACATGGAATAATTGGATACACGTGCATCCATTGGAGATGTGCACAATAACCCGCTTCAAAACAATCTATGGAGTTTAAGTTTGACCAATCTTAGAATAACTTTTTTTTGGAACAATTTTTTTTTAAAAACCTGGAAATTTTACGTTATGGAATCATAATTTGTCATGTTACAGAAATATCTTAATAAAAAAAATCATTAAGATTTAATGGTTAAAATCGATCAAAGAACTTAATTTTGTAGTAAGATCTTAGCTATGTTTATGCTCCAAGATGTGAATGAAAATTGAATAAATGATTCGAATATAAAGCTAAGATACGAACATATGATTGGGCTGCATAGTTTATTTGTTTTGTGGAAAGGATTAAGGTATGTGAAATGGTCAAAAGAAGGGAAAGAAAAGGGAAAGAAAACCTTGATGATGAAATGTACTTTGAGCCCAAGTCTGAGGAATATTGGAAGGATATGGAACATTTGAGAATAAATATGTTTTTTATTATTATTATTAGTGTAAGTCTTTAGCAAAAGCACATTATTATGGCTTATTGTCCTCCAACTGTACAACATAGTGACCTCAACCACAATAGAAATTGGACATTTTCATCATGGTGGGTTTTCACAATTCCTTATCTCATTACACATTCCAAGGACCTATGTTTATATATTGATATACGAGTCTATAATATAATATAAAAATTATAAATAAAATAGTGATATCAGTTATGGATGTTGATGTATAATGTATTTATTGACAAAATCTATATATCATTGAGGTTATTTTTTACATTTTGATTTATCTTCCTCTAAAAATGAAAAATTTACAACTTCGTTAATGTGTTACTTTGACATTGTGATTATCATTCTTTGGTATCTTCTTCGACAACTAAAGATATCGACGAACTCGTCTTATTATCTCATACCACTCGGTCAATTTAGATTTGATTTAAATCACTTCAAAACTCATAAAATTCAACAGTAAACTCAAAATTCGCGATGCCTAAATAATTGTGATTTATAATATATACTATCTGATCAGCATATAATTAAGACATATAATTTACTTTCTCTTTGTTCATCTCTCTGTCATTGAAATTTTGGAAAAACAAATTTTATTATGGAAAAATTAAAGAAATTTAAGAGTAATTATTTTTTTTCATAAAAATAAAGGGTTTTAGGAGCATTTAAACTTGGGTAGTGTTGTCGTCAGCACATACAAACCTCGAGATGATATTTTAAAAGAGAAGGATAGAAAAAGAATATTTATCAGTATATTAAATAATCAAAAGAAAATAGAGCTAAACCAAAATGGAGACCCTGAGATGTGGTTTTGTTCAACACCATTTTATCATTATCATATCACTTAGAAGGTTTGTCCAGATTTTCAAAAAACAGTTTGGTATGTAGATCCTATGATTTTGTTGGAAATTTTCATACAAACGACCAATTGGAGATCATGAAGCAGATACAGTAAGCAATTTCTTCATCATTTACCACTTTCCATGCCACTCCTCTTTCATAAGAGATTGGCCTCCCCACGCTTGATAAACACATCCCACCACCTTGAAGCCACATAAAGCCCTACCCAACCAAATCACAGGGGAAACAATCGTCAACTATGTTACGATAATCGAAAAGATAACCACGTATAAAATAAAATAAAATAACATTAAAATATGGATAGAAATTCACTCTAATGTTGAAATTACAAGAGTTTTGCGATTTATTCAATAACTTAATTATTATTACTTATTTATATGATTAGTAACTTGATCCAAACTAGATTAGATAATATTATAAGCGGTAACCTTTGTTCCGAGAGTTAGGGATGATTATAGGTTGGGACGAATTTTTGACTCATCCGAATCTAACTCAAATATAGCACACTTTCATCCCTCACCTGACTCGATACGAGTTTAGAGAAGTTCTATTTGACAGGATTTGAAGAGTAAAAACTCGAATCCGATCTGATACATATATACATATATAATTCTTATTTTTATTTTTATTAGGTTAAATATGACCTAATAGAAAAAATATATAGAAAGAGAGACATTATAACAATTATTTCTAAATATATAAATTTCAATTATGCTATTATTCTCAATTCGAGTACGGTCAAATATTTTTCACTTTAAACTCAAATCCATCTTAACCCGACATGAATCTGAATTTTCAATAATAAAAAAAACACAACCCTATAATATCACGTCGAGTCGGAACATATTAAGTTTGGGTAAAATGTCCATCCCTAGAAAGATTCTCCACATGCACCATAAATCCTCCTTTTCTCTCAATTTATTTCTTTCACCCAGCGTCTCTCCGTGGGATTTTAAGTTGGACCAAAACAGAATTCGAATCACGTACCCTAACAAACTATATATATATATATATGACAGGATTGAGCACTAATTTCAAAGACTATATTTTTACCTGCTGAATGACTTGTGGGAGCTCTGCAAATAGGGCTCTTCTTCCATCTTCATCAAATGTTTTTTCCAAGCTTATATCCTGAAGGGCTAACAAGGTTGTTTCAAGCATGTCAAGTCCAGCTTGATTGGCAAATATAAAAAATGGCTGTGCCTGCATATATTACCAACTATGTTATACTATATATATACACACACACACACACAATTTATAAGATTTTCCAGGTAAACAAACCAACAATAGCCTGGGATTCTTCCCAGGATATGGCTTAAGACCTTCAAAGAGCAGCATAGAATTGCATCTGAGTGATGCCAAAGATTTTTCAGAATGGATTGTCCTTCATGTTTGAGCAGTTCCATCCCCAGAAAACACCTATTAACAGCAAATAATTGGGTTGAGAAATCTGGGAAAACGTGATGAAAAAAAAAATGAAGGGAAACAGTGATTGACAAACCTATGGCTTTGGCAAATCCAACGAGCTAGTGTCTGTGCTTCAGGAATACCGGGTGGTGTCCGAAACTCGGCATGCGAGCCGAACTCGGAGGGGGAGAGTGCCAATGCCACCCTTTGAACCGAGGCAATGATACTACGGATATACTGTCTAGCCATGTTAGCTACATTTTCTTGAAGGTGGATCTCATACACAAATTGGAATGCTATTGTCATCACAGATTTTGTACAACGACTAGTTCGATCGCCGGTTGCTCTACTTCCCGCAGTCCCTACTTCAAGATTGGAGGCGAGATCGAGTGTACGGCTAGGACTGGATGCATCCTGCATTGGAATCGAATTTGGTTGATAAGGGATTATGAGAATGGATCTTTAGAAAACATGATAGACACTTACCATTCCGGAATCGAGGGGGATGATACGGAAACCGGAAGGAATAATAAGTGCATCGTCGGAGAATGAAGCATCGATGGGTGCAAAGATGAGTTCAGAACAGCTACCAACTGCATTCTCATCAACTCCACTACAGAGCTGAGAGATTCGCACAAGAAAAATAAGGGAAACTAAATAACAGTCCATGCCATTAAACAACTTAAATTTTAAGTACCTGCAAGAGGAAGATATCGCCGGACATGACCATGTCATCTTGATAGTGGCCGAAATTTTCCAGCTTAATGACCTCCATGAACTATAACGAAGAAGTGCAAGCATTCTTTAGACTACATATTCTAAATTGATGCCGAGGATCCGACATCATTGTCTGATTACTTACCTCTTCGTTCTCGATCGTGTGAGTCAATGGAAGAATGACTTGACCCCCGAAACTTCCACCTCGAGACATCCGTAAGCTACAAGGACCAGCTTTGACGGCAGCAGCAGAGTAAGCATCGATGCCACTGTCCGCCCACTCCGATCGATGTTCTCGCAAGAATCGGAGGAGTATAGCTGGAGGTACATTCTAACAAATGCAAAAGAAAGAAGAGGAAGATATTCATGAATCTTTTATCATTGTGGCCATTGACAATGGCATTTAGAAACATACCTGCAACAACATTGATGCTTTGGCACAAAGAACCGCATTGCCGATTGAGAGAAAGCCGTTACTGTAAGAAAGATTCATGGCCATCATCTTGCCGGGAGATGAGTTCATCAGCAGGGTAATATCATCGGCACCATCACTTTCTAACATAGACCATCCTTCATCAGGAAACCCATTAACAGCCTCATTAAAGCCCCTGGACAATAAAACGAGTTAGATTGCCACATAATACACATGATATCCCCAAATTATGTCTTTCATTTGAAATCGATCCCTAAACTTTTAGATATTCTATATCGGTCTCTAAATTATGACCCCGCTGATCCCTAAACTTTAAACTATTCTACAAAAGTCCTCAAACTATCGGTATCATTCCACTTTGATCATTCCTCTATTGATTTTTGAAATTTAACGTTTTAAAATGGAATCCATAGTTTAAAGATTAATATATAATATTTTAAAATTTAAAGATATCTAAATTATCAATAATATATAAAAAAAGTTTATAATATATTTTAAAATTTTCAAGTGTTATAAATAATGTTTGTGCTTACCTATTTAAAACTTTTGTAAATCATTAATGTTTTAATATCTATTATAAAATAATATACAAGTTAATGTGTAACAAGTGAGGTGCTTGTTTATGGGGGTTTAGATGGTTAAGCTAGCGGTTTATAATTAATCTCTTCTGATTTGAAGAGAAAGTTATTGATCGATTAATCTATAGAAATATAGGGTAGGTTATGTTATCTCTTTCTTCCCGTGGAATGCTTTGCATTAAATATTTGATGGTCACGTGATTGTTCCGTGGTTAGGTTGGATATAGAACTGTGTAGTTTGAGATTATCTGTTTAACATATTTACTTCATAACCTGATATGTGGATCAGTTAAATCATATAAGTTATTTGTTATTGAACTTCGTGGATGACTTTTAAGATAAAATCTACGTGTGTAAAGGAGTGTGATGGAGATATAGCAATACATAAAATTATATAATAAAAACATAAGAAGGTGTTGATTTAGAAGAAGAAAACTACGTACTATTCAACAACAACAACAACAACAACAAAACCCAATTCCCATATGTATGGGGTAAGGGGGAGGTAGGGTAGTAGGCTACCCCCAACGCCAGGTTGAGAGTAGCTTCCGTGGAAGACCTCCGGCAGTCAGAAAATTAAAAATTTAGATAAAATGCAATGCATGTATAAATAAATACATAAATACATAGCTAAAACAGTATTCATATGCAGTCATTAAAATCATATGTGCGTCTGTAACGGGAAATTAATCCCTGCATAAATATCCCTGCGAAGACTACGTACTATTCAATTGGAACTAAATATTGTAATAGTTTTTTTTTTTGTTCATTATGTGCATTGAATGGGAAAATACTAGTATATGTTTGATTAATTAAAAATAGAGAAAATTAAACTAAAAGTAATTGAAAGACTGATAACTATAAGTGTTACTAAATTTGTTGTATTAAATTTCAAACATTACTTGGACTAAATTGAAAACAATGAAGGGTTAAATATAATTTGTCATTAATTTTTAAGGGTATCAAAAGTCTTCGAATTTCAATAATTTTTTTAGTCTCGAAAAATCTGCAAATTGCACGTGGTAGATCTAAGTGTGCTATGTTGTAGTAATATCTAAATGAAAAGTTATTAAGATTTAATGGTCAAAAAATTGCTCAAAAGACTTGATTGATTCAATTTCTAAGTTTGAGAATTAATTGATTGATTTTAGTATAAAAATTTAAAGGTTTAATTATTCCCCCCCACCCCAAAATTTCACGACTTCATGCACTATAAGCCTTTTTCGAAGTAAGGGTAGAAGCGGATGTTTGGTAGTTTAACCAAATGATTCGAGTTAGATGAACATACTTGCTCAATTTCTGGCTAAGAGCACGTAGAGCAGCAGGTCGTCTTCCCCAACCAGTAGCATCCGGCTGAGATATTTCTTGAGAAATCTGCCTTAAATGACGCAAAGCCTGCATACATGCATCCCAAGGTTCTAAACTCATGTACAACCATCAAACATTGAACTGTTTCACAACACCAGTAAGAGAATAGTCTTACCGCCATTGTTGTCTTCTGAGCAAGCAATGCCGAGGACTCGTAAAGGGGACGCAGCACTTCAGGAACTCTCCAAGGCTACATATATAAGCAAAGTAATGTCTATGTTTATCAACAATGGGGAGCAAGGGAAAGTTTCATGCATACATAAATACATATACATACCTCCAAATCCATGTGATCAACTATGTGAATTATTGATCCACCGCCTTCACAAGGTCGAATTAGGTAACCACTAGGCAGCATTTCTGCTCTCACAAAATTTGCAGCCGGAGGCATGTCCGGACCGTTCCGAGTATTGTTAAGTGATCTTTCACATACCACAAGACCACCGTCCTCCAAAACAGATGTGTAGCGCAGCAGCCAGAAGTCTCGAGCTGGGGCCAATGTTGTTGGCGCATAGAGCTGAAAGAAGCCAATGAATAGCAAATTGTGGAAGACAAAGGCAAAACAAATGGGAGATCAGTCTACCTGCATATAAAGCAGTTCAATGGTTCCACCGGTTCCGGTGGACAACACGTTCATAACATCCACGACCCGGCAATCACGGAACCACGAAGGCCGGTCTTTAAGGATTTCAGAGACCTGCAATGAATTATATCGGTCGATTCTTCGCCAAATTCGAACCGAGATAAATCCTCTTCACCGGGAAGCAAAGAATGGAACTTACCCTAGTGGGATCGAGTCCCACAAGTCCGCATGCACGTGCTGCCACTCCGGTGCAACCATGAGAAATAGCAACGATTCCAATGGAATCCGGACCAGGCTGCACAGTTCAAAGGGTTTTTCCAAGGACAGATCTTGTAATCAATAAAGAAAGTGGGATAGTGGGGTTATCCTAGATATTGACGTAACAAAAGATATGGGGTTTTGATGTTACTTAGAAGATTAGCAAGATTTTGTACTTTATTATAGAGATAAGATCTTGATTAAGGTGAGTAAAATTAGAATCGATTCCACTCGAATTTTATGCATTTAACTTGACCGGGAAAATTTCTAAATAAAATTTGAATGATAAAATATGACTCGTGAATTCAATCAACTTAAATTTTAAATAAAATTTAAACCTTAAAATAAAAAATAAAAAATTTATTCTTAACTAACTTAAAATTCTTTTTAACTCGACTAAATTAAACTCGATTGAACTCACCCTAATCTTGATTTCGATAATGATAAATAATAATGGAGTATACAGATTAATGAGCATAAAGAATGGAAGAATAATGACAGTAGAGAGGAGAGAGAGAGAAAGCAGTGACCTTCAAACCAGGCATTTGGACCCACTCCACAGCGGTTCCAGTGGCCTTTGAAAGAAATTCTGTTAAAGTTTCATCTGCAATGGACAAAAGTCTAGAAAGCACACAGTAAGCAATATAGCAACAAAACAATGGAAAACCAGCAAAAAATTTCCCACTAACCCTGCAGGGCTTGCATCCCTTGGAGGATGCTGAGGAGTACTCAAATGGCGTTGCTGATGATGACCACTCGTCACCACTGAGTCACAACTCGTATCTGTGATGGCTAATGCCCCCTGGAAACACAAACCAGTGCCATTCAACACCAATTCTTCCCAAAGTACTTCAAATCAAGGGAAGAAGATCATAGCTCTTACATTTCGAGTCTGTTGCCGGAAGTAGCTTTTTTCATGAACAAGCTGTGAAACTTGCTTTTGTAACCTATCATTCTCCTCCATTAACAGCTTATTCATGGCGGACAACTTCCTGTTCACGGCTTGTAACCGGGATGCCTCTTTCCTTTGTTTTTCCCTACATCTGCGATAAAAGAAAACGATGACCAAATCACCAAACAACTCACGTCAACTCACTGAATTATAGATATTCTATATAGTATATATGTATGTTTAAAGGTTACCTGCGATTTTGGAACCAAACTTTGATCTGCTTCGGGTCGATGTTTGAGAGGATCGGGTACTCGCGAATGAGCTGTTGGCGGCGAACCGAGCTAGGCTTAGGACACTCGTAGTAGAGACGCTCTAAAACTTCGACTTGCTCGGGCGTGTACCGTACGTATTTCCCGTTATCCATTGCCATCCTGTTCCCATCTTCGCAGGACGAGATCACCGCCATCATCACGTCTTTTGATTTCCCATGTCGAACGGAAGAAAAATATCAAAATTCAAAGCATATTCATTTCAAATGCATACGTAAAACAGAAACGGAAAATTAACAAAGAAGAACATGGAAATATGGGGTGTTGTACCGTTTGTTTCTGTGGGGAATTTCTGCAAACACAGCCGGATCACGGCGGGGACCTCAGAACTCTATTCAGATTCTAGTAAAGATCAAAACAATTTCCCGATAAAAAAAGAGAAACTATGGAACATGTTGGAGAAGATGAGAAAAACAGCTATTTTTTCATATAACTGTTTATAGTGGATGATGATGAACACAAAAAGGAAAGAAAAGAGAGTCAGCTGTTGCGGTGTTGAAGATGGAAGATGGTCCTTTGAAGGAAATGAAACCGGGGGGGGGGGGAGAGGGAGGGAGAGAGAGAGAGAGAGAAGGGTTGATTTGATATTAAGATTGGCTGAGAGGTGGAAGAGTGAGGTGGTGGGACAGGGTTGGACCGGGAGCCGGGCGGTCCTAATTTTAAAATTTTTAACTTTTTTATATAGTTTAAATATTCTTATATTTTTCTTACTAATTTAATTCAATATCTTAAAACTTTATAATTTCATTCTCTTAAATTTATAAATTATAATGTGATTATTGTATATTTAACTAATATTTTTTAATAGTTTAGGATGATTACAAAGTGTTCAGAATTTTTTAACTAATTGATAATATACACCTTATAGACGTAAATGTTCGACTTAAAATCTCTAAAGAGAATAACATTTTCTTTTATCACTGAGACCACTTGATTAATTCATTTAATCAATAAAATCTAAATTAATTGTTAAATGTTCGTTAATATATAATAAATGTATATAATTAATTCCATCAATACACCATGATAATATCTATATTCTAAATTGATTTCCAATCTTAAAAACATTATAATTAAATATTCAAAATATTAGTATCATTTTAGTTAATTCCTTAAATAAATTTAATCATTAATTATGACATTATATGCCAATTTACATATGAGGCATAGCATATTTAAAAGACATTGGTAAATATTTAAATAGTATGCACCTACAACGTTTACAACTAAAATGATGCTTTAAAAAATTACTATAAAATTCATTAAGTGATATTAGTAATTAAAGGGAGCTTTATTTTTTCTTGAGATCCTAAGTTCGAATAATTATATATGTAAGATATGTGTGCATTGTCAATAATTAATAAAAATCATGAACATATACTACATTTTATTCCCCTCATATTTATAAAAAAATTAAAAACAAGTTAAATTGATTAATATTTAAACTCGCAAAGGATCTAAAGACCCATTAGGCCTTAAAAGTTGAGGAGCCATAGCCCTTCTAGCTCCTACATAGCCATCATATTTATCTATTGTTCTTATTTCTTTAGGTTTTTTTAACTTTTTTTCTTGTATATTCTTTGTAGGGTTTAAGTGACTAGTTTTATTGTGTTTAGAAAAAGAAATTCTTATTATATGTTTAATTAATTTACATTTTTGGTGGTAATTTTTTATTATAATTTGAATATTTTTCTAAATTTAATAAAATTAGTGGTTTCCATCTAAAAAAATTGAAAATATGTGTATAGTTCCAATATACTTGATAGAATTAACTCAAAATTATATAAAGAAAAGGGATGAAAACATTTAAAATGTAAATAATTTCATTGATTGAATATTGATCTGATTTATTCGAATTGAAAATAACATGTCATAAAACAAAAATTCAATCCAAAGAAATCATGTGGAATTGAATGAATATTACATTACATTCAATACTTAAATAAACGTTATCACAATAGATTAAGAGCCTTTTTGTTTTACTGAAAACATTTTTCAAAAAATATTTTTCGTAAAATGAATTACATCTTCTGGAAAACATTTTCTGGAAAATGTTTTATGATGTTTGGAAGATGTTGTGTAAATCATTTTTCACTAGTTGATAATTTTTTTTAGAAATTATTTATTGTAAATATAAAATATAATAAATAATATTATTTATTACAATAACTTAATATTATTATTTTAAAAATATTAGAATAATTTATTTGATACTATTTATGCCAATGTTATTATTAAAATATTATTTCTATAATTTTATAAATAAAAATATTAATTCTAGCATATTCTATTAAAATACAAATTTGATAAATTATATTGAATATCTATAAAAATAAAAAAAATTATATTATATTATATTTTAAGGAATTTTTATATTATTATTAGACTATTATATTAATATTAAATACATAAATAAAAGTATTCACTATTAATAATTCAATAATATTATTTTTAAGAAATTAATAAATAATATAAATTTTATAAATAATTTATTATATATTATTAAAATAAGAATATAATAGTATCATATATTATTAAAACATAATTGAGTATATTATTGTAATAATAATATTATTATATTAATAAATATATTTTAAATATGTTAATAATTATTAATTAATATTTTTTATTAAAATGATACTAAAATATCATATTAATATTAAATTTATAAAATAATATTATTTTGAGTATTTATGCTTTGAAGTGAAAAGTTTGGAAAATGACTTACGAAAAATTAAATCGTAAGTCATTTTCCATAAAATGTAAAGGAAATTATGTTGACTAGGAAAATGTTTTACATTGATCAATTTATTTTCTTCCGACTAAACACTGAAAAATGAGGAAAACATTTACCGAATTTTTTTTACGTGAAACAAATGTAACCTAATTATAGATTGGTTCAGTGAGATGGAATTTTATTTTTTTAAAAAGTAAAATCATAATTTTATAATTTGATGTTGTGAATAAAAAGAAATTAAATTGAGAATATCAATCTCATAATAAATGTTTATAATATTTTCGATGAATACAATTAATTACATAAAAAAAAATTAGTGCAATGGAGGATGTCAATCAAGAAACCAACAATTTTTATGAAAATTGCATGCGGCCTAACATATCACGCCACCTTTCCCCTCTCATCGTCATCATCATCTTGTTTCCCTTGTATCGTGACATAATAATCAAATATATGTCTCATTGTATAATTTTTATTCTTGGATGCTAATTCATAACATTAATCCCTTTATCATTTTTCCAATAATCATAGACGTGCGCAAGATTGTTTGTTAGAGAGGTGAAGTTCTAAAATTTTGAAAGATGACAAATTTCTAAAATTTTAGGAGACGAAAATATATTTTCAATATAAAATATAAAAAAATATTTAAAATATATGAAAATTTTAAAATTTTAGGAAACCCCTCCTTCTATCCACCCTACCTATAGCTACTATATTATATAATACTATCACTATTATAAGCGTCGTGCTTAACCTAATTTGAATGATTTTCAAATTACTAAATAATGGGAGGGAATAATTTGTATACATAAATAAAAATAAAATATTAGAATCAGAGAGATCCATACTTATACTTACGATTGTAGTTTCATATTATTAAGTTTTAGATAGATAATGGGATGACTCTTTCCATTGTCTGTGTAACTTCATATTACTAAATTTTAATAATTTATCAGTTGTTTTATTGATTATACATAAAATTATACACATTGACAATAAAATAAATATAAAATTATATGTACTATTTAGTAGTTTTAATATTTGGTCAAAATCATTATCTGCAACATAAGCAATGGGTTATTTTTCTCCCAAATGGTCGTGATAGAAGACTTTACTAATATTTGAATGTGGAAAAATAAAATACATTGTATTCCTTCTATTCAATAGCGTACCGATTTCACTAGCTACAAATCTATATTTTATTTATTTTTTGGAGATACGTGTATTATACGTATATTGTAATTTGAATCATTAATTTGTAGATTTTTATTTTACAAAGATATGTGGAATGTATTGAGTGTTTTTAACGTAAAAAATATTATATTATTTCTTTAAATGATTTGAATTCGGACAATTGTATCATCAAATTATGTATATGTTATTAATATATTAAAATATTTGAACAAATATTATATTATAATCATCCTAAAATATTAAAAATCTTTAAAATAATTATTATTTAGTAAATCCTGTGTAGAAAAACATAATTCCACAAATAATTTTAAAATAATGAAATATATTATATTTATTTTGTATTCATCTAGGGTGAATACAAGGTGTTACCTGTTCAAAGACTCTCCAATCATTTGATATTAAACGCTCAAACCCCGCATGCATGATGCTCGAATCTGGGACCTCAAGCGATAATAATAATTCATTTATCATTGAAATAACTTTATTCGTGTTAAATATCATATTTATTTGTTAATATTATTATTTTTTAAATATAATCTTAAGAATACTACTTATAAATTTTTTATCTCACTGATGATATACTGAATAATAACTCATACTTTATTATTATTACTCATCATAACATATATTTAGAGTTAATCACTTAGAATAGGATTGTCAAAAGAAGACAACCCTTTCTAGCCATCTATGTCTTGGAACACAAAACGAGTCAACGCAACTAAAGAAATCTTTTCGCAAAGTCAATTGAAGGTCATCTAAGAAATATGGTAATTTCAAACTTTAAATCCTAAATCTTTAAATAAAAACTTAAGGTTGGTATCTTAATATTTAAATTTTAATTAGAAACTAAACTGAATTTTCAAGGTAAAAATTATATATGACATGACCCTACACATATATATGAATTTTATTTTTATTAGATAAAAAGGGACCTTACTAAAATATATAGATAGAAGAATATTATAGTATCTATTATATATATATATATATATATATATATATAGGAATAAGATCCTATTTTTAAGGTACAAAAAATTTTAGGTTAAGGGTGACTATCTCGGTAGGATTTACATAGGAATTTATATATTGTCTACCAAGAGTGACGGTTGTAAGATTCAAACTTGGACTTACAAACTCAAATTTCTTAATCCCAACCACTTGTACCAACACTCGTTGACAGGAATAAGATCCTATTATACAATGTAAAACTCTTTTAGTTTTACACAGATCTAGGACCGTTAGATGAGTGAAAATAGATGTCTGAAATGAATAAAAGAAAATAAGAAGATATTTACTAAAAAAAGAGTTAATTTTAACTATTTATTTTTACTTATTAAACAATCATAAATTTATATAATATTAAAATAATTTTATATTGTGTATATAAAAGTCAATTGTACTATTACTCTAGCGGTCGAATATTTTTAAGGAATTGGTTAAGAAGCAAGAAATGGCAGACCAAGTTAAGTGGAGGTGTCTGATTCTTCGGCTACCCGCTTCCTCAAATAGACTTTAATCCGCTATCAATGGCAATTC